AAAAAAAAAAACAAAAAACAAAAAACACAATTTTTGTATTTTTTTACCATGTTGGCCAGGCTGGTCTTGAACTCCTGACCTCGGGTGATCTGCCTGCCTCAGCCTCTCAAAGTGCTGGGATTACAAGTGTGAGCCACTGTGCCTGGCCGGTTTTGTTTTTTCTATGAATGTCTTTCCATGTTTAAATGCTTAGAGGAAAAAAAAAAAAATAGAGGCAAAAATTGAGTGACATAAAAACGGCATGAAATTCAAATGTCAGCATCCAATCATCAGTAACGTTTTATTGGCTGCAGCCATGCCCACTCATTTACGTGTTTCCTGTGGCGGCTTTCAATTGTGTGTGTGTGTGCGTGTGTGTGTGTGTGTGTATGTGTGTGTGTGTATGAGACAGTTTTGCTCTTGTTGCCCAGGCTGGAGTGCAATGGCACAGTCTCTGCTCACTGCAACCTCTGCCTCCCAGATTCAAGTGATTCTCCTGTCTTAGCCTCCTGAGTAGCTGGAATGAAGGCGGCCACCACACCCGGCTAGTTTTTGTATTTTTAGTAGAGACGGGGTTTCAGCATGTTGGCCAGGCTGGTCTTGAACTCCTGACCTCAGGTGATCCACCCGCCTCAGCCTCCCACAGTGCTGGGAATACAGGCGTGAGCCACCACGCCCGGCTTTTTTTTTTTGTTTGTTTGTTTGAGACAGGGTCTCACTCTGTCGCCTGGGCTGGAATACAGTGGTGCAATCACAGCTCACTGCGGCCTCCACCTCTAGGCTCCAGCAATCCTCCTGCCTTGACCTCTCAAGGTGCTGGGATTACAGGCACCTGCCACCGTGTCTGGCTAATTTCTGTCTTTTTAGTAGAGACGGAGTTTCACCACATTGGCCAGGCTGGTCTCAAACTCCTGGCCTCAAGCGATCCTCCCGCCTTGGCCTCCCAAAGTGCTGGGATTACAGGCGTGAGCCACGGTGCCCGGCCCATCGCCAGGATTTATATCCACCCTGGGTGACCGGAGGTCCGGTCAGGGGGGTAGCAGGACCCCGCAGAGCCCCGCCACTCACCAGCAGGGGCAGCCAACACACGCTGGCCACCACCATGATCCCCAGGAGTTGGGCCATCATCTCCACCTCGCTGTCCCGGGGGCGCTGCTGGGCCGCCTCCTGCCCATGGTAGACGTGGCACAGGGTGGCCACGCTGACCGTGTTCAACACGAAGGACAGTCCGACCGAGAGGCCGCCCAGCATGGCAAAGAGCAGCCCAAACGCCACGTCCCCGGGCTCCGCGCCCAGCGTCAGGAAGCACCAGGAGCCCGGGTACTGCACGGTGTAGCGGCCCACGCCCAGCAGGGGCAGCAGGCCCAGTGCCAGTGCGGCCGCCCACACCAGCCCCACGGTGGCCCAGGCGCGGCGCTGCGAGGTGACCGCCGGGCGTGAGAAGGGCCGGGTGATGCCCACGTAGCGCTCCGAGGCCATGGTGGCCCCCAGCAGCAGCGGGCACAGGCCGAAGAAGACCATGACGACGCCCATGAAGCGGCAGAGGCGGCAGCTGGGGTCCACGGTGTGCCACTCCAGGAGGGTGGCGTGCTGGGACACCACAATGATGCCAGTCACCAGCAGCCCCAGGAAGTCGGTGAGGACGAGGCCGCAGAGGAAGGTGAGGAAGGAGGAGCGTGGGTGTGAGCCCCCCTGCCGGGCGCCCGCCAGCACGCTCAGGGCCAGCAGGTTGGAGGCCAGGCCCACCACGCAGAAGGAGGCGGCGAACCAGGGCGAGGCAATCAGCCGCCGCTCCTCCAGGGTGATGTTTGTGGGCCGGAAACAGGGCCCCAGGGAACTGCCGTTGGGCCACATGGCTCCGGAGCCCTGCGGGATCAGTCACCACCCCATCAGGCCGAGGCTGCAGACGGGGCTAGCTGGCACTGGTTCAGGCACAGCACACCTGAGAGGCAAGAGAAAGAAGATGTGCTTGTAATTCTGCCTTTCAGTGTAAGTAGCTCTGGTGAACTCCTGTACAACCTTCAATGCCCCAACTCAAATATCCCTTCCTTGTTTTTTGTTTTGTTTTGTTTTGTTTTTGAGACAGAGTCTTGCTCTGTCACCCAGGATGGAGTGCCATGGTGCCATCAAAGCTCACGGTAGCCTCAGCCTCTGGACCCACATGATCCTTCCATCTCAGCCTCCCAAATAGCTGGGACTACAGGCATGGACCACTCTACCTGGCTGATTTCTTTCTTTCATTTTTTGGTAGAAACGAAGGGGGGTGGTGTCACCCTGTGTTGCCCAGGCTGGTCTTGAAGTTCTGAGCTCAAGCGATCCTCCTGCTTCAACCTCCCAAAGTGCTGGGATTACAGGTGGGCTGCACCACCATGCTTAAATTTTTATTTTTAGTTTTTGTAAAAACAGGGTCTCACTATGTTGCCCAGGCTGGTCTTGAACTCCTGGCCCCAGATATTGCCTCCTTGAGGAAGCCTTTCCTGACTTAGCTCCGTCTCCACCCAGAGAGTATTCCACTGTTCCTGCAATGGGGTCCACCATTGTGCCTTTACTACCTCTGGACTTGTCAAGGGTAAAGACCAAGGCCATGTCTTCTGGGGTCCCTGGAGGACACCAGGAAGTATTTGTGGGTCCCAGAGATGGGCTGAGGAGCCCTAGATTTGAACTCTAGCCCTGGTGCTTATTATGTGACCTCAGGCAAGTGATTGCTACTCTCTGTGCCTCAGTTTCCCCATTGGTCACCTATCCAAGCCCTGGGCAGATTGCAGAACACATTTCAGCCATTGTGAAACAGAAATTCTGACACTGGCTGGGTGTGGTGGCTCAAGCCTGTATCCCCAGCACTTTTGGGAGGCTAAGACAGGAGGATCGCCTGAGTCCAGGACTTCAGGCCCAGCCTGGGCAATGTAGCAAGACCCCGTCTCTACAAATAATACAAAAATTAGCCTGGCGTTGTGTATGTCTATCGTCCTAGCTATTAGGGAGGCTGAGGTGAGAGGATCGCTTGAGCCCCAGAGGTCGAGGCTGCAGTAAGCTGTGATCGTGCCACTGCACTCCAGCCTGGGAGACAGAGCGAGACTCTGTCCAGTGTCAGGAGGGAGGGTGGGTAGCCAGCAGCTGGCCAAGAGTCTCTGGTTCTCACCGGGGCTCTGAGGTCAACTTTGAGTCACGACGTGTTGTGAATGTTAGGTGTGAGAGGCCCAAACTCGTTGGTATTTTAGGGGGACCCAGGGGATCTTTTGTCCCCACACGTGAGAATTGTGTGGATTCCTTTTTCTCCATTTTTTTTTTTTTTTT